AAGATAATTTATAAAAACTCCACTAATCCTAACTTCTATATCCAAGTGACTATTTGCCTTCTATATAATGAGATGTCTGATAGAGCTCCCTAATATAACATGCTCAAAACACAACTCTTGATTTGCCCCTTCAAAGCCTTTTCCTTCCTGAGTCTCTTCAGCTCAGTCAATGGTACTTCAGCTGTTCAAGCCAAAAACCAGAGCATCACCCCTAATTCTTCCAACTTCTTCACATGCCTCCTCCACTACATCAAGTCCATCACTTCCTGCTGTGACTCTATCTCAAAAATCGTTCTCAAATCCATAAACCTCCCTCTGTCTTGACTATTCTTAGCCGAGCCACCAATATTTCTTGTGTTATAGATGATCCTGTTAATTATGTCACTGGTGCCACTATTCTTGTAAAAATATACATGAATTCATGTCACCCCCCTGCCTAATAACATTTAGTGGTTTTCCTCTGCATCTAGGATAAAACACAACATCCTCACCATGGCCTAAAAGTTACACACAAACTAGTCCTGAATAATCCAACTTGCTCCCGACTGTGACCCAGCCACACTGGCTTTCTTTCTCCTATATAAACATACCAAGCTTATTTCTTCCTCAGAGACTTGGCACTTGCTAATCCTTCTGCCCCTATACTCTATCCCAATCTTTGTAGGACTGCCATTCAAAGGCCTCCTCCTAACCACCTCTAAGGACTCTACCAAATTACCCAAACCCAACTATAGCTACACTGTAACACATCACCTTATTCTATTTTCTGCACAACACTCTTATTTGTTAACTTGATAATCGCCCTCTTTACTCCACATCTCCACAACACCCATTCCATGACAGCAGGAACATTATTTTCCCCACTACTGTATTTTCCAGAATCTATAAGACTGCCTGGCACATAGCAGGCATTCAGTAAATTTTAATTCAATAAAAGATGATTAAATAGAATATAAGAAACTAAAAGGAAACTTTATCATAGGAGGATGAGGCAATCAGCCTGCTCACTTTTTACCAAAATATGTTTTACTCCACCAAGAATCCCCAATTGAGAATCTAGTTCCATTTGCGATATTTTATTTTGCATTCAAAGACCCAAGTACTTGATCGCTGGCTCTTCTTAACAGCCTCAAGAGTCATGCCAAACCAAAAATCCACCCATCCTTTTCTGATACCAGAAAGATGATTTTCATGCATTTAAACTCAATATTTATCCTGAAATACAGAAATGTGATGCTGAGAGTAAAAAAGTAACAGGAAGATAGCAATTCACACAATCTAATTTCACTTTTTATTTTTTTACATTAAACAGATGACTTAAACCCTCTGAGCCTTAATATCCCCAAATGTAAACTAGGTATACCAATACCAGCCTATTCTTAGTTCCCAAGTATATTTTGACTGATAAAAAACATGAAAAATATACAACCATGGGTTAAGGTTAGAGATTTTATAAGTTATAGAGCTTGTGAAATTTTTTATAGCTTTGGAGAAAAGAGTGAATTATTATTTTTATGGTCATAATTCAGAGAGAGTTTATCACATTGTATAACTTTCAAAAGAACTGTTCTTTAACCAGAGAAATCACATGTTTACATTATGGACTGTAACACTAGTAATAGGATCTGTAGCTACATCAGTGATAAAGGAAGACGCTAGAATGAGAGGAATGGAAAATCAGTTTATCTACTTTTCCAACCCAACACTTATGTGCTGACACCAAGTGCTGATAGTTATTAAGTCAAGTATCAGATGTTTATGTAATGCCTCAAACACTACAGGCTGCCAAGATTTTCTTCTGCAAATTCCATTTGCCTGATTTAAGTTCCAAGAAGGATTTCTTTCTTCAGTTGCACTTCCATGGTATTACACTGAATATTTTCCACCTGTGTTTGGTAGAGTTACGATAAACGACTGAATCGTTATATAAGTTAGACTTGCTTTTTTGCAGCAAATACCAAAAAACTTGACTAATTGGCTTAAAGACATTTGGGCTTATTTGTCTCATCTGATATATGTCTAATCCGATGTCTAGGAGAAGGTAGTCTAAAACTAATATGGTAACTCATGCACCAAGAAGTGTTAAATGTTTAATGATCTTTCTGAAGTTCAAACTGATTTACCATGCTTGCCAGTTCCCATAGTGTATGTACTTCCACCATGGTTTGATTTTAAGATGCCAAGGTGATATAACTGGATGCAGAGATATATTTAGTAGCTCACCATTACAAAGTATTTCTACCACACACATAATAAATGTAAATAACCTAAACAGCATTAGATAATAGTAAGATGTAAAAGAAGAATTAGGAAATTATGAGTTTGGGGTATTATCTTTGTTTTAACATAATCTACTTAATTGTAAGCATCTAGCAGGCAATGTTAAATAATCACTGTGCTGAACAACAGGCTTGCAAATTTCCTGAAAATTTAAGTCAACTCTTGCCAACTGTTATGAGACATTTCCAACACACCACCGAATGCAAGATCTTAACATAATTTTGCTCTGCCACGTTCAATGCGTAGACCTTCATCCACATGCTTGTTGCCTCGTGGTTGCAAGATGGCTTCTGCCATTTTAAGGCTCACAAGTGCGTGTCAGGCAGGAGGAAGAAAAAGCTAAAGTGGCATGCCAGTTTTTGAAAAACACTTCCCTAAAGTCCCACCCAGTGGCTTCTGTTTACAACCCACTGGCCAGAATTGTGTCACATGTGCCTAGAGTAAAGATGGCTAGCCACAAAGGAATCATGGGTGAAGACCAACTAAACCCATCCCAGTAAAATTATATTTACGGCACTCCAATGTTCAAGACACCATGCTATGCTCAGCACAGTGACGCAGAAATGAAAACAGACTGGTTTAAGGCTCAGGGCTTGCCCTCAGAAATTTTTGGAAGACAAGACCAACATACATAGAAATATAGCTAACATTCCAGGTGCGTTCTCCTCTAGTCAAGTACTGGTTCAGAAGCTAAGCAGCTCTGGTCCTGGCAGAGGCAGGCATCACCGTGGTCTGGGCTGTCCATTTCCACAGAAGGGCTCAGCATCACAGAAAGAGAAGTCAGGTCAGACAAGTCACTGTCAAAAGGTTTATAAATTCTGCTTAATTTGAATCATTAATTAGTGTACATGAGCACGACCTTTGTACACTCCTCTCTTTCAGTTATTTTAGCTAATTGCACAGGAGGCTTAAATCTGTGTTGAAATAACATGGACTAAAATTAAACTGCTCTCTCTGCAGTGACCTACCTGCTTTTTCTAGGTAACAGATAATTACCACTTTTCTCAGCTTAGTCCAATACTCTTCAAAGCCCTCTGGAATAACATTGCTGGTACCAAGTGGTTTTTTAAGTGTTCCATTTTCTTTTAATTCTGTCGTTCTACCCCAGGAGAACCCCATTACAGTGGTTTAAAGCATCATGTGACCAATTCCAAATCATGATCATAATACTGATTTGAATATTATTGGCATTTCTCTGGAAATGTCTATCATCATCGGGGTTGAATTATATTAGGCCTGCATTTGTTTAACTGTTCTGAGTCTCCTCCTGCACCTGGGCAGAGTAAGGGACCCTGGCTCTTAGAATGCATACACTTCACCTAAGTGAACAAGAATGAAGGTCGCTCTAAGTTGCTGAGCTGTCCCAGCCTTCAGGGCTGTGGAATCAGGCCATCAATTTCACCTGATGTAAAGGTTATCCTCTTACTGCCTTTCAGCTTTGCCCTTTCATTCTGTACAGGTCACCATTGAATTCCTGCCTTAAAAATAATTTTAGTATAATGGCCTGTCTGGCACACTGATGGGTCTGGAAAGTTCAGAGAAATTCTTGCTACAAGGTCCTTCAGGACCTGTGATAGACAAACAGCAGCGTCCTGTCCTTCCCGGGGAACCTGCAAACCTGTCTCATCTGCCCCCCTCACCCTGCCTCTTTCCCCACTTTGCGTTATATAAAAAAAAATATTAATCAGCTATTGCTGCAATAATGCAGCTAAACTACCTTCCCTAAAACTCTTTGCCTTACAGCTGCAAGCATTCCTTTTTCTAGCTCCCAGGTCTGCGGAGTTTCAGGATGTGGGTCAGCTTAGCTTGGCTGCAGAGTTCTGGCAGAGTTCCAGGGGTCTCTACCTCTCTTTGGAGCAGCAGCTACGTATCAGTGCAGACTTCGCTGCAAAAGGACAAGCAGAAACAATCAAGGACCGTGCCGGTTTGGCCTGCGTTCATATGTGCTCTTTGTATTAGCTAGACCTTGAGGAGGGAAATATGCTCTCCTGCCTCCAGTGGAAAATATTCCAAGTCTCATGGGACAAAGGGCGTGAATGAAAATAATTCTAATCCGGGGAAGGCTTGAATTGCAAACAACGATCCGTTCGCGAGATACACTTCCGTTTTGGAATTACCTGCTCTCCCATAAGCAGTTTGCATATCACAGTTTTGCAAAGAGGCTTAGTTTCTCTGGGGACTGACTTTGTTCATTTGTCAGGCCGCATACACTGAATGCCTGTGAAATATCCTACTAGTCACGGGGTGGGGGACTTAGACAGGGGTGCTGCTCTGAAGAAAAATTAGTAATGGCAACAACTGGCACAAACATGCCTGGTTCGGTTGGTTGATAATGCAAAACAATGTACGATTAAGAGCAAGAGTAGGATTAGGCAGGCAGAATGTTGATAGACATCGGCACGGGCATTTTCAAAAGAAGAAGGAAGGAGGGAGGAAAAGGTTCTACATGGGAATGAGCTTTGCCTTAGACAGATGTCACCCCAATGTTTCTAAGGTGAGGAGGTATAAATGGTCATGTCCCACCAGTCAGTAGGCTGGCTGTATTTAGCCGATTCTCTATCTCTAATGTTAAACTACCCTTCCATTATTTGCTTTGTTAATAATCATAATTATACAATAACACAAATGAAGGCATTCCTCAAGATGTCTTTGTAATATAAACATTCATAGCAACTAAACAATTGATTAATTTTATAGATTCACTTCTTTAAAAGCGGAAATACTTTCCTACAGAGACTTTTATTCACATGTGAAGAAATAACACCCAAGGAAACAGAACTGAAAGATACTGCTCCAGGCAGGAGGAGACCTGGGCCATCCATCTCTGCTGTCTCCCGGCAGTGGCGGTGTCAGGGAAGATCACTTGATGTCTTCCATCCGCTAGGGCTGAAGAATGGAAGGACAGACACGTGAGCTCCACAGGGGTTTGCATCCAGTTTCTAAGCTCTGCAGGCTGGATTCAGGAACTCTGACCATTGGTATGAACTGGATCCTGAGAATTGGAAGGTCACTGAGCCTTCCTTCATTTTATAGATGCTACAAAAGCAGCCCAGGAGTTTACTTAAATAAATTTGAATAAAATTGGGATGAAAATCCAGGTCTCCTGATTTCCCAGGTGAGGGCAGGAATCTGCCAGTCACCTCTAGGCTCTCAGGTCCCTCCGATGCTGTGAGAGCCCTTGGTGTCAGCCAGCTCCTCTCACCACCCTGTGCAAAAATAACCCCCTCCAAACAGACATAGGAGCCAACTTCAGACCAAACATTTCAAATCACAACTCCCACTTATCTGCTGGGTGTCCTTGGGCAGACTGCATGATCTCTCTGTGCTTCTATTTGTTTCTCTGTGGCTAATGATGCCTAACTTGGTAATGTTATTACAGGATCAGGTCACGTAATGCATCGCACAGTGGCTGACGTGTAGGAGCAGAGCAGCAAATAGTCATTACAACAGTGACATTAAGTGACTCAGAGGCCTGTCCAGGGAGTATGTTCACACAGAGCACTGGGTGGAGAGCTCTGCAGGACCTTGCCTGAGACCTGGACGGGCTTCTGTAGTTTTTCTTCCCTGGGACAGCAGGACAGTCTGCTGAAAGAGAAAAGATATGGAAGCTCCCAGCTCTGCCAGGTACCTTGTCTTGGGACTTGGGAAACACAAGAATTTCCCTGCTACACACCCTCACCCACCTTGTCCAGGGTATCGTCATTAATTTAATGACTCAGACTTGGACAAGTGTACAATTTTGAGTAAGATAGAGAAGAGTGGTAATGGATCTTGAGATTCAGCGATTTCCTAGAGAATAAGGAGGTAGATTTCCCAAAAGGTAAATGCAAATGCACCTCATGGAGATGGGAGAAGAAGATGCTTGGTAGAAAGAGACCCTGATGGTAGAGATCAGTGGAGGAAGAAAAATGTCCCACAAGGACCCCTGAGAAAGAGTCTGCTGGGCTCTATTGGAAATATTGGACAGTTTCACTTTCTTCCTCCAATGACGTCAGTCCCCTGAGTTTCCCGCACATCCATGAGAACAATGTAACCCAAACTTGGGTGGCAATATAATGGAAAACAGAATGTCAGGAGGCTGATGAAAAGCAGGACCTGCCTGCATTGTCCTGGAAGTAAATGTTGGACTCTACACACACACATACCTCCCAGGGGCAAACATGAATTATCAGAGCTAGCACTACCAAAATCCAGAAGGAAGACAAATGTATTTTCCTGTCTCATAATTTAAGAGGTTCTTTTCTTGCACAGTGGAGACCATCCTCCACATTATTGTGCAGGATACTTTTAAGTTCTATTCTTTACCCCCTCTTTTCAAAATGGTACCATGTGGCCCACTGGAAGTAAGAAGAGCCCATTGCTCAGCCATAGACCACTCGGTGGCCACACAAAGACCAGAGGGCAGCCTGAAATTAGCACCTGTTAGGATACCACAACTCTCAGAGATGAGTCACTGTAACCTTGCTAAGCCTCAGTTTCCCCAACTGTAAAATGGAAATAAGAGCTCCTATCTCATATGGGATCACTGAGCTTACATGAGCAACCCCAGTTTTTTTGAAGCAGTGATGTAGTACCTGGCACCTGGTAGGGTTAATGTTGGTTTCCCTCCTCCATGTCTTAGTAATTCCCACCAAGGTCAACCCTCTAAGCTCACAAGTGAAAAAAGAGTGCTTTCAATGGCATTACATCAGAAGCTTAAAGCTGGGGTGCCCAGGGAAAGCTTTGTACAAGACTACCTAATAGAGCCTCTTCAGAAAGGGTACTCTGCCAGGAAATCGTTTCTAGGAATACAGCCCAGCATTATTGCCAGGAAGAAAAAAGTCACTGGTTAGAAGACCAAGGCAGCTGGATGCTGGTCAAAGTTCTCCCAAACTGGATTGGTTTCTACCAAGGTGTGGGGCCCTGCGCAAACATCTTTTGCAAGAGTTGGGTTAAAATAGCCTAAAAGAGACTTTCAGGTTACACTGGGCTGAAGGGTGCAAGGAAACAGTCCACCACCAGGGTTTGGTGAGTTAGGGACAAACAGGAGGACAGCATGCACCCCCTTTCAGCTCTGCTTAAGAAACTGTTGGCAGAGTGACCTTCATCTCTTCAACTTGAATGAGCCCTGACCAGAGGCCAGGAGGTCAGAGCTCAGGCAATGACCTCACCCTAGGCCAGCCAGTGCAGCTATGGAGGGCAAGAGGCTCCAAAGCCAAGGGATCCAGGCTTCAGGGTCTCCCTTCTGGAATGACTACTCCTGTGGAACTCAGCATTCTGTCCTCTCCCTCTCTATAGGTCTCTGGAGATTGTCAAAACACAAGATAGTCCTTCTCCACTGCCGAGCCTAGGAAAGGAAAGAGCAGAGGAGTTATGGATGTAGCTTCGAGGGTTTTTTTCATCATCTAAGGGTTCAATATTTAGAGCAATATTGATTCGATTTATCTAGTGTTGTAATGTTCCATTGGTTACTAGGCAACAGAGTTCTTTCTTCTCTGTTTTCTAAGTGGCTCATGGGAGTTTAACTATCAAAGAGATTACTTTGTGTATATGAAACTAAATGGACCATAGGTATCATACATAAGTGGAGGAATACTGTTTTACTGGGCAGCGTTAAGACCACGTTTCCTATCACATTTTGGTAATTGCAATTCAACCTCCAGAACAACAGGGCCATTCATATTCACATTCCCCTACAAGTTACCCACTGAGAACAATTTAACACAAAGTTTTGCTGATGCATAAAATCCTACCTTGTGTACTTGCTATTCCATCCTCATAAAGTTCATACCTTCACTGGGGCAAGGAGCAATTTATTCCTCTCTGTTCCGGTTCCCCTCTGAACCTCATGTGAATAACCAAAAATAGCAACCTGGATTGTAAAGGGCAAATTCCGGTTTGCACTTATACCTTCGTATGGGAGCCTCTTTCCTCATTTCTTTTATCTCGTCTTCTTCCCAACTCACCCCAAATTGCCCTCCCTTCCTTGGAGGCTCTTTCATAAATCCTTTGTATCAATGTTCACTGTTTCTTTAAAATCCCATATCAGAATAAGCAGGAAAGTAAGGCACTGTCAGCTTGGACTGGATGGTTCAGTGACTTGGCATTAATGGTGTTTATTTTGGAACCTACATGGCTTGACCTATTTTAGGATCTCTGCTTTAAACATGCCTCCCTCCCCCATTTTTCCAATTAGAAGTGAAGGCAAGAGGGATTGTGGGGACGTAAGGGAGCAGGAGAGGAAGAACCTGGAGCTCAGTGCTCTAGGAGTTACATCTGAAGCTGCTCAGATTGGCCGAAACAGTTCAACCGCTGTTGCAAAGGCAGTTTGAAGCACTAGTGGAAAGGCTGGAATTCAGGACTGTGTCCACAAAATGGGAAACGATTCCAGAGGCACTTCTCTGCCCGATATCCTGGGTGTGGCCACAGAAACAAACACACCAAAGACCACATTTGGTATTGTTCACCATTTTCCTCCAAGGAAAGACCTGCTCAGGAGAGAAATGATCTTGTTGTTCTTCCAAGGAGAAAAGCTGTCTAGAAGAGGGGAAAGAGCAGGGGGAGGAGGGAGGAGCAAGTGTAGGCGAATAGCCAACTATGCACATATACGGAGAGTAGGAATGTAAAACAGATGTTGTGAGGGGAAATAAACCATTGCCCTGGGAGCAGCAGCCTCTGGAGAATAGGGTTTCTCAGATCCAGGCAAATAACCAGTAAGTCACTGAAAAGCTGCATACTCACCATAACTAGCTCTAAGGAATGGCCCTTCTAGGTTGCCTGGTCCCCTGTCTCCACATTTTTTTCGTGGCTGTGCAGCAGCCAGCACTTGATGCCCTTCTCTTTAACTAGGAATGAGGAATGAGAACACTCCCTCAACACCAGAGTTTCTTCCCTGCAATGGACGTAGGAGCAGCAAGATCTGGAGATCCTGAAGAGGATGGTGGCACTGTAAGCCCTTTCCTGCTGGCCCCAGTGGAATGAAAAGTGAGAATGGTTAGGAAAGAAAAGAACACAGGCCACCATGTGGAGACCCTAACAAAACAATTGCAGTGCTCATGGAGCAAATGGTGATATTAAGGTCAACGGTGTAGAGTATCCATGGCAGCTGCTGCTGTGGGCAATTCAGGAAAACATCAGTGGCTAAGAAGATGCTCTGCTTGAACCACCTGGGACCAAGAAGGTAAAGGATGGAATTCACAAAGTGTAGGATCCCAGCATGTGAGATAGAGGTCAGAGGTGTGACTTCTTCTCCCACTGGGTTGGGTTTAGGAAGCCAGTGCAGTAGAGTTAACAGAGTTCAACTCTATCTAAGGGTCCTGAGGACATAAAGACCCAAGCAAGCCTTAAGAGAAATGAAATTGTGGAACCAGTGTCTATTGTGATAAGTAACTAAAATTGAACAGTAAGTCCAACCAGCAAGTTGTTTCTTGGGAACACAGCCCACAGAGCAAGTCTTGTAATAGATTATTTAAATCAACAACTTCTATAACCTGAGACATTTATTGACAAAATCAGAAGCAATCCTTTTCCTAGGCACTCTTCTTTGCATTTTTGAATCTTCTTTTTTAGAATTTCACATGGCAGGTAGACACTACAATGTTTTGAGTCCCAAAATATTTTTTAGGAAAGTGAGCTCAAAATATCAACTTGTCAGACATTGTCTAAAGTTATTAGCCTGTCTGGTAGATGCCTTGTGGATGCTGGCTGAAAATTGGCCAGGTATTTTTCCTCCTTCCCTATATATTTATTTTTCTCTACCCAGTGTGTTTTCCTAGGACTGTGGTTCACATATTTACAATCACAGAAGAAAGGTGGGGAAGGAGGTGATTCATGTTCTTTCCCACACCTGAAAGTGTCTTTACCTCTAGAATCTAGATTAATAATGTTACATATTGAGGCCCAGGGAGATTGTGGAAGAACGAAGAGAAAGAGGAGAAAAAGGAGGAAGAGGAAGAAGAACAGAAGGAGCTCACTGCAAAAGTGTATTTCTAGTTTCCAGACCCAAAAGGTCATTAAAACTGAAATTGCTTGCTCCTATATAATTCCATCATGCTGAAAGAATGGATCTTTCCCTAAGTGGAATCAGGTTTAACACAGGAATATTGTGCCTTAAAATTAATTAGAATAAATTAACTCCCTAATGAAACACAGCATCAAGCATGAAAAAACTAAAGAGTGCAAAGTAGTAATGTGCTAAGTAAAAGGCGTGATCATAGGGATATCAGTTTATGGAAAGTAATGCAGGTAACTTTGACAGACATCAAGCTTTCTGATGGTTGGATCATAACCAACCAGTTAGTAGCTTGGTTGCTTGACTGAATTCAGCTAGTTTGTTTTGAAAATAATTCACACTCTGCTTAACATCATCGCTTTTAAACTCATTTGCTGGGTGTTATAGTCACTTGTCTGCCCAAGCTCAAATGGTGGGGCAGTTGACAACTACAGGCTCAACATGAGTTAAGGAAATCACTTGAAGGAGAGTTAGCAGGAGGTCCAGCAGCCAGGAGAGGTGCAAACAATGGCCACTGGTGGACAGCTAACTCCAATTTAAGAGAGACACTGAACTGAAACAGTGGAACTGCCGGAAGGAAAACCAGGCAATTCTAGAAAATCCCATCCTAAAATATGTCACAGGAGCATAGTTTTTCCCAGGCACCCATGCTCAGGCTGCACCCATAGCAAATAGGAAGAAGGAACCAAATAGTTCTGAAGAAGTCCAATCTTTCCTTGTGGGGATTTGGTGAGGTGGGATTATTATTCAATGACATGTCAGCACTCTCCTCCACATGGAATGTCATTTCTGTTTTAATAATCCAGAAGTTTTCAGGAAAAGAACTCTTGATGTACTGCTCAACTTGACCTTTTGTTAGCTCCAGGAGAAGGGCAGAGAAGTCTGCCAAGTGTTGGGTGCTATTCTAAGCAGCCAGAATGGAGTTGGAATGACATAAAGGCAAACATCCATTTCTAGCACTTCTTGACAGCAACACAGCCCCAGGAGGGAAAGGCAGGGAGACTGATTCCTTTGTTATTAGTCAGAGAAGTTTGTGATAAGAACCCCAGGAGCCCCTTATCCAAAAATATCACTTGTGACACCAGCACGTAAGCCCACTAATGCGCCCTGATGAGATGGATAGGTGGTGACAAGTTTTAAATCTCCCGTGGGGTTTCCCTTGACAGGCTGGTCTTATGATTTAGGGCACCATCAGTGACCCTGGTTTGATTCATCACTTGGTAATTCATCTTTCCCAACAAGCTGTGGTTCCTGTTTTATAACGTCCTTTCCATCTCTCTCCTTTGAAGAGAGAGAGGAACAGGTGATGAAAGCCAGGCTTTGGAACAGAATTCTAGCTTTTTCCAGCCAGAACCTTCAATAAAAACCCTCAGGTCAATTTCAGGAAAACTATGCATATTGACAAAACAATGCCTATTTACATAAAATATGTTGCTTTTATTATTTCACATATTGTTATGATAAGCACCATGAACAGTCATGGCAACATGAACAAGTAGATTTTTCTACCTGAACATTGTACTTATTTAAAAGTAAACACATTTGTTTTCTTCAAAATTATAATTTGACCTTAAGCATATAGACTTACTAACATATCAAATCTTGCATTTGTATCATAAAAGTAATTATTGCCATTTTGAATTTTGTTACATATTGTCTGTTTGGCTATTATAAGTCTCTACACTTCTTATTTTTACAATATTTTCAAGCAATATTTTTTGTGTTTTTATGACAGAAGCAATGCATGTGCATTATGATGAGCTTAAAACTACAAAATTTCAGGCCAATATAAAGAAAAAAATATCTATTACTACAACCCAGAAATAATTATGGTTCATAACTTGATGAATTTTATGTAGTTATGTATAACATACACAGTATACAAAATGTATAAAGTAGGATGATCTAATATATGAGAAGCATAGTAACATTTTGCCTCTTTCTATGAATGGCCTTCATCCTAGTCAGCCCTAATCAGCCTATAATTCCCATCTACCTAGAGGGAGTTTATTAGAGAAAGAATGCATAAATGATAAAGTCAATAATAGTGTAGTATCTTTCTGTGTTGACAGCAACTACACTAATTGGAATGAGCATTTAATAATGCAGATAGCTATCAAATCACTATGCTGTGTACTTGGAACCAATATAATATTGTATATCAACTATACTTCAATAAAAAAATAAAAATAACAAAATTAAATTAAATAGTATGAATTGCTTGGTTAAAAAAAAAGAAAGCAGTACGGAAAACTAACATAAAATTCAGCTTCTGTACTTAAAAAATAGAATTGGTATTAGACCATACCTTACAATCCCAGGCATTTCTTAAGAAAGGTTTGTTTAAATCTCTTAACTTTCCCTTCCCCAACACATCCCAAACCAACTGTTTTTATGATCTAGATTAAATATATTTATTAAAGAGAGGTCCAGATAGAAAGAGTAAAGGGGAAATCCCACCCTCTGACGTATGTGTGCTTATTTCCCCATCTTCAGCCTGAAAGGGACAGTTATATAAATGGATAAAGGTAATATGGACAGCAAAGGAGACCATATGAGTCTGTTCAGGCTGCTATAACAAAAATCCCATAGACTGTGTGGTTTGTAAACAGCTCACATTTAGTTCTCACAGTTCTGGGGACTGCAAAGTCCAAGATCAAGGCTCAGGCAGATTCAATGTCTACTGAGGCCCACTTTCTGGTTCACAGATGGCCTCTCTGTGCCTTCACATGGTGAGGGGGATGAGGGGGTTCTCTGGGTCTCTTCTATAAGGTCTCCTTTATAATCCCATTCATGAGGCCTCTACCTTCATGACCTCATCACCTCCC